TATATATATATATATATATATATATATATATATATATATAATTGATGATCTATTTTGTAAATAATTAATTAAAATTATATTGATCACCCTAAAAATGTACAAGAGGCTTTGTATCTTTATTTGGTACAAAAAACTTTTTTAGAGAAAGTAGAAAATAAACAAAGAATGATAACTGAAACAATGGCTGCCCAATCCCAAACCCTCAGTCGATGAAGCAGCACTCCACTGTGAGTCAGGCTATTTGTCAGTCGATGTATGTAATGAAGCCCCCAGCAGCAGGCTATTTCAGTATGACATCAGATTACTTACCTTAGTACGCAATTTGTATATATATACTATTTGAATATATATATATATATATATATATATATATATATATATATATATATATATATATATATATATATATATATATATATATATATTTATATTCATATATATTTATATTCATATATAGATATAAATTTATAGATAGCTCAGTTGGTTAGAGTGCTGCTTAAGTTCTGAATTATTATTAGCCGTAGATTTATAATTGGTTAGAGTGCTGTAGATTTATTATTGGTTAGAGTGCTGCTTAAGTTCTGAATTATTATATTTTTTTTTTTTTTTCTTTTTTTAACATCTTGCTTCCAACAAGGCTGCAAGCAACATCTAATTAGTGTTGGAAGTTACTGGAAGAGGAAAGATGAAGATTGTAGAGCAAGATAACAATTGACAGACGACTTAAAAGATTGCAAATTAAATGAATCAGGAAAGCAAGATAAAGGAAGCGAATTCCATAGAATTGATGTTCGAGGAATAAAACAAGACAAATAAAAGTTTTTGGAACACTTAGGAACAGTCACAGAAAAAAAGATGACACTTAATTGAATGATGAGTAACACGTGAATGAATTTTTGTAGATGGCACAAGAGACGCTAGCTCTTTAGAGCAGTGCCCATTATAGTATTTGTAGAAAAGAGAAAGAGAAGCAACATTATGGCAATGTGACAGAGGTTGAAGGTTGTTTGCAAGAGTAGGTCCAACTATGTTTACAATGCGCTTTTGCACCTTGTCTAGAAGAGAAAGGGCATCATTAGAAGATCCACCCCAGATAATGGCAACAGTATTCCATACAAGGCCGGATTTGAGATTTATAGAGATAGAGAATAGAATCCAGAGTAAGAAAGTGACGAGCTCGATAAAGAGAAGCGACTTTAGCAGATGCTAATTTTGCAGCGGATTTGATATAAGGTTTCCAAGAAAGATCAGAAGTAAGAGTTAATCCTAGAAGATGAAGGGTAGGAGAGTCATCGAGTATATTACCGTTTATAAATATAGGAAGGTCTAAATTATTGCGATAACGATTGGCTGAAAAAAATTGAGTTTTATCTGAATTAAAGTTCACCACCCACTGTGAGCCCCATGCTGTAGCAGAAGTGAGATCCTTTTCAAGCTCAGACACCCCCTGCAAGCAATCAGAGGGAGTTGGCTTCTTATCCTGACAAGAATAAATGGTAGTATCATCAGCGAACAATGCCACCTTAGATGTGAGAAAATCTGGAAGATTGTTAATGCAAATTAAAAAGAGTATAGGGCCAAGTATTGAACCTTGAGGAACCCCTGAGGTTACAGAATAAGAAGAAGAGTGCTGTCCATCGAGGACAACTTTTATACTATGATTGGAAAGGAAGGATTTGATAATCTTAAAGATGTTTCCAGATACACCGTAAGAAGAAAGCTTATGGAGAAGAGCAGCATGCCAAACTTTATCAAACGCCTTAGAAATGTCAAGAGCGATGGCCTTAACCTCTCCACCTTTATCTAATGTGCAATAAAACCTATTGGTTATTACTGTTAGCAAATCAGCCGTAGAACGAGAAGATCGAAATCCATATTGATGATCAGAAAGTTGGTTATGAGATTCGAGATTCGAGATTAAGTGTTTTTTAATATATGATATTGATGAAGTTCTTGGCAAACAATTCAGCTTTGTCTTTAGGTGAGGTGACAAAGTTTGAACCGTACAAAAGAGGTGGAATTACAGACTTGCCCTAATTATTGATACTATTAAAGATTCTCCAGAAGTCACGAGAGCCTAATTTTTGTGATGAAATACGAGATTTCATGATCTGAGAATAGCAGGCTTGGCGTTATACAAAACCTTTTTACAGTGGTTCCTAGCAGTAAGAAACAGAGGTCTGTTTTCTGGAGAATTGTTTTGCTGATAGATATGGAAGTAATGGTTTCTATTGGCAATTGCAGCAGCACAATGTGAGGAAAACCATGGAGAAGAGTGAGGCTTGACCTGGAATCTTCAAGAGGGAATAAAGGATTCCATGCCAGCCTGAATCCGCGAAGTTATGTAAGAAGCACATTTGTCAACAGGAAGACAAAAGATTTCTACCCAGAGGCCATCACTAAGAAAATCATGGAAAGAGTCCAATGATGTACAATGATAGGGGGATTCTGATGGTAAAGAAGAATGAGATAATAGTTTTAGAGAGACCAAACCATGATCAGAAGCACCTAAGGGTGAGTGTGGAGAAACTGAGCACTGACTAGGATTAGAAACAAGACATAAGTCGAGTAGAGAAGGTAAATGATTCGGGTTATCTGGAAAGCGAGTTGGAAAGTTGACTATTTGAGTTAGGGATTGAGAAAAGCAAAAGTTGTGGGCCTTAATGCCTGCGGAGTCACTGACGCTAGAGCCAAGCCATTCAGTGTGATGAACATTAAAGTCACCGACAACAACAATATCAGCTGATGGATAAAGAATGAGGGCTTGGTCAATATAATCAGGAATAACATCAAGAAGAGTGCAATCTTGAGATGAAGGAGAGCAAAGAACAAAGAGAAAGGTGATAGGTGAAGTGGTGTTTAATGAAAGCACTTAAAACAGTAGTCTGTGGATTCAAACCTAGTTTCCTGACAAATGGGTGAATTCTTACGATTGTAAATGCCTAGGCCAAGCATGTGACTATTGGAGTCTTTACGAATTAAAGGAAGATAACCATTAACAATAAGATCACAAGATGAGACAGCTGAACTCAAATTAGTCTCACAAAGAGCAAGTAGGCCCAGTGAACTTTGCAAGAGATAAGACTTAACAGAAAAAAAGTTACTTCAAAGACCACGAATATTTGGGAATGATAGGTTTAGCGAACTTGGTGATGACTGTGGTTTTTTGTGTTTTATAGTTTTTGTTACTTTATTCATTTTTAAATTTGTTAAAGAACTTGACTCGAAACATAGATAGTACTCAGTACACTGTTTTATAGCCCAAGCAGTTGCCTCATTTCCACTAATAAACCCGAAGCCGTAACAGAGGGCTCCAATGTGGCCTTGGCAATGCACACCAAAAGTACAAATAGGGACACCATCCATGCGCAACATGGCACTGTTAGTACTCTGATATTTTAAAGCTGTTGATGAAATTAGCCTCTCTGAGAGCTACCACAGAGTTCGGGAAACCTGACTTCCAGCCGGCCTCAGAACCATAAAACTGAGTTTTAGAGCTGTACCCTCATTTGGAGATCATAGAATAAGTTGCCTTGTCATAAAAACAGAGACACAAGCAAAACCCATGCATCAAGTCAAGAAGCTGGGTTGAATGTTCCATCCTGGCCCCGTTTACTCAGCGTATGAGTAGTACCGTAGGAAGAAGGAACTTGTCTTGTTTAGCTATCCAATTAAAATGTTTTTTCTCAACTAGTAAATAAATAATCTAGTTGAGTAAATGAAAAATAATCATAAATTATCTTAATTATATATATATATATATATATATATATATATATATATATATATATATATATATATATATATATATATATATATATATATATATATATATATATATATATATATATATACATACATACATATATATATATATATATATATATATATATATATATATATATATATATATATATATATATATATATATATATATATATATATATATATATATATATATATATATATATATATATATATATATATTTAAACATCTTTGTTTCCAGCAAGGCTGCAAGCAATCACTAATTAGAGTTGGAAGTATATGGAAGAGGAAAGATGAAGATAGTAGACCAAGATAATTATTGACAGACAACTTAAAAGATTGCAAATTATATGTTTCAGGAATGCAAGATGAAGGAAGCAAATTCCAAAGAACTGATGTTCGAGGAAAAAAACTTGATTAATAAGAGTTTTTGGAGCACTTAGGAACAGTTACAGAAAAAAGATGAGACTTAATTGAATGACAAGTAACACGCCAGTGATGGTAGCTCTTTAGAACAGTGCCCATTTTCATAGATAAGTTTTTTCTGGGAATTCCCGTAATTTGAGAAATTCACTTAAAACTACTTTAATCCAGAAGTTTCTGGATGTTTTTTGTTATTATTTTGAAAAAAAATTATTTATTTTCACATAAAATTTTAAAAGTGACAACTTTTGCATTTAAACAAATATATCTATAGTTACAATTTTCACGAGAAAACGAGATCAATTTTTGTAACAATTTTTTTCTTTTTTTTTCTTTATTAATTTATTCAAATTAACTTTTTTGAATATTAAAAATTCTTTTTTCAAAAAAGTTAAATTATCTAAATTCTGTTTTAAAAGTTTACGAACATTTTTGTTTTCAGTTAGTATTATCTACTTTTTTCAGTTAATATTATCTATCAGTTAATATTATCTATTTAATAAAATAATTTTATGAGATTTTCTGGAATTTTCATTAAAAAAATTAATGTAGTAGTATATACTATGTTGATATTATACATTAATGTATTAACATATTATTTATAATTATATAAAAAATATATTAAAGTAAAAAATTTAATACAATATAAGTATTTCTTTTAGACGAAATTCCTCAGACATTAAATGAATACAGTTATATTCGAAAAAAAGTATATACCTTTGTTTCTCATTACAAGTTTGATTTCGCAATTGCTATTATAATTGGTTTGAATGTTTTCTCCATGGCAATGGAGTATTATCAAATGCCAGAGGTAAGAGCTAGACTTTTTTAATATAATATATTCAATAATATTTTTTTAAAATACAGTTTAGTAGTTAGTTATTTAGCATGCTAGATTTTTAGCATTTTTATTTAGGTTTTGCTGTAGTAAGTGTGTATAGCCATGTCAGATTTTGTTAATGTATTAAAAAAATAGGTTAATTAAAATAAAAAACTTTTTTTTTTAGAAACTTTCTTTCTGTTTAAAAATTTTGAACTACATCTTTACTTCAATTTTTATTTTGGAAGCTCTTCTCAAAATATATGGATTTGGTCCAAGACTGTTTTTTAAACAAAGGTATAATTTATATATATATATATATTCTAATTATTTATATGGTTTATGTTTATGCTTTATATATGTGCATTATATATATGTATATATTTATATATATATATATATATATGTATATATGTATATATGTATATATATATATATATATATATATATATATATATATATATATATATATATATATATATATATATATATATATATATATATATATATATATATATGTATATATATATATAAATATAAATATATATATATATATATATATATATATATATATATATATATATATATATATATATATATATATATATATATATATATATATATATATATATATATATATATATATATTAGGGCTGTCCAAAAAAATTTTTTTTTTCAGATTTGATTGCATAGTTGTTTATTTTGTGCCATTTGACATATTAATTAACTGTGCAAAAAATCTTTCCGATCAGATAATGTTTAGGGGGTGCTCAATGACCATAAGGTTTTACGAAAAATGTGAAAAACAAGGAAAAAGTAACAAAGTTCCACAAATTTCTAAAACCCGGTTAATTAGATTTTTCAGATTTGATCAGTTTTAATTATCTCTAAATATTAAATTCTGAATACAAATTACAATCCACATCCACTTTATACTGGTTTATTAGCAGAGAAATTAATGAAGTAAAATACTGCATTACGACTAAAGTTCTGCGGTTTTTGTTATATCAGAATTTTTCCAAAATAAAACACTAAGATTTTTGACTCTTTGTCATTGATTAAAATACGAATTATAAACAAAAAAAATTATTGTAAAGAAGTAACAGTTTCTCAAACCGTTATCAACTACTAAGTAGGTCAACTCAAAAACATATGAGCAATTAACATTTAATTATCGTAATGTTATAGTTCGTGCAATATTAATGCTAGCGAGGACTATAACTCTTCAGAGTACACTTTCTGGCATCTGGCACTCGCTTTCTGTGATCCTCAACCACCTGAATTAACCTCTGCATTTCAGATTCATTCCTTGTAATCGATTCATTAAACATCGACATTAAAGCCACAGATCGTTCGGCAGCATCATTTACTACTTTCAATGAATATACTAAATTTTTTCCTTCTTGGTATTCTGGGGAATCATTCCAGGTAGCTGGATCGTTGTTGAACAGAAAATCAATATCAACCTTCATTGACCGCAACGCACTTGCTGAAACTGATGTCACCAGCATGTCCAGAGATTTCTTCTCTAGACTTTCAATGTTCTTTAATTTGATCAACCTTTCAGACCAGTTCTCACCGTGAAATTTCATGTTGGAAATCATTTTTCGCTTCTCTATTATTTCAATGTTTGATCGATGATAGGTTTGTTTTCTACGGACTGTAGAACGTGACAATGATCCATCATCAAGGTTCTGTCCACCAGCCCTTGCAATTGCTGCTGCTAGTATAGTAAATTTTGTGTCAGATAGATTAATTCTGTCTAATGTTGATGAAACATCAGGCGAGTCAAGAATTGTATCTAAGATACATTGTCGTTTTGGAGTACTTGCTAAACTTGATTCAGCTGGCCCTGAAGAACTTGCTTTACTGACTTGTTGTCTGTAATAAACAGGGATTTCTATCTCAAAATCTCTATCAACCATTTTGTCATTATCAACAGCATCGTTATCGTTGTCATCACTATAACTTTCGTCATGTAAAGGTTCAATAACAGGAACTATTGCACTCGCACCAGATTGTCTTTGCTCTTTTTTTAGCTTTCGTTCTCTCTCTGCTTGTTTCCTTGCTTCATTTCTTGCTTCTAATTTTGAAAGTTCTTTGTCCTCTCCAAACATCACCATTTTTCTCTGACATCTCTGATCCAATAAAAATTCTTTATCTTCTTCAATTCTGATCATGGTTTCAGCATCCTTGTGGGCAATGTCAAAAAGTAGGCCAATGGTGTCTGTAAATGATTTCTCTCTTGATTTCTGAGAATCTGACAATCTGGATTTTTTTTTTTTTAATTATTTAAATTCCTGGACTAAAGTTTTTAACTTTAAGACTACATTCAGATGAAATGCTGTCGGAATATGGGCTTTATTCCAAATAATAATCAGTTCATCAACAGTTGTTTTAAGACTTTCAGGCACTGACTTTTTGGTTGAATTAAGATGATAAAAAAATGTTTTTAAAACATCAGATGTTAAGGGAAGAACTTTATCTGGAAGATTTGGCTCTGGTTGTCCAATTAAAAAGATTTCGGTTTGAAGTCGTGTAGAGATAGCAACACAAGATGATGCTGCCATTTCAATGATAACTGAAAAATTATGAGAAAATCAAAACTCAATACCATATTATACAAACTTATCATTCAGTTGTTGGTTTATGCAGCTGCAGCAATATATAATAATAATTATTACTAAAGAAATTAAATAAATATTTTCAAATTAGAAATTATTATTATTTGCACTTAATAACAAACAATACACTACCAGACTACCATGCTAGTTTTCTGTTATAGGTTACTAAGGTTAGGTACTATCAAAATATTAATACATTTGTTGTCAAACTGAAATTCCAAATAAAAATAATATTTATACTTGTAAATCTTTTTATTCTGTTTGAACAAATTCTAAATTGAGTTAAATAATAGTATTAAAATTATGAATACAAATTTTAACAAAATGATATAAAGTTGTTTTAAACACTAGCAGACATTTTTTAGTCTGGTGCCCTGATGACAGTTAATCTGCTGCACTTTAATTAATCTATATAGCACGCAATCAGACAATATTTTAGTGGAAAATATCTAACTAACCAGGTTCTAGAAATTTTTGGAACTTTGGAACTTTTTCCACATTTTTGACGTTTTTCGTAAAATTTTATGGTCATTGAGCACCCCCTAAACATTATCTGATTGGAAAGATTTTTTACACAGTCAATTACTATGTCAAATGGCACAAAATAAACAACTATGCATTCAAATCCGAGAAAAATTTTTTTTTCCTGTGTTCACATGAACAGCCCTAATATATATATATATATATATATATATATTTATGTCCTGCTGCCTGATAGGATATGCTTTTAGGCAGAAACTAGGAGATATCAACTCTGACTTAACACTCCCCCTCTTTGGTTGCTAGAGATAGTGTCTCAATAAAAATACTGATGTTAAATGCAACTGGCTACTGTCTTGTGGAAGGCCTCTTACACAAAGACTTAAGGGGTAAACAAATTCTATCTATCAACTACCTTCACACCCTTCTTTATCTATTAGGCTGGCGTAAATGTATTTATGATACAATGTTTCCAGTTTAGGATGTTGAATACTGGATCTTCTCAACTCATTACATGGGTTTGCTTGTGTCTCTGTTTTTATGACTAGGTAACTTATTCCATTATCTCTTAATGTACAGCTCTAAAACTTAATTTTATGGTTCTGAGGCTGGGTGGTAGTCAGGTTTCCTGAACTCTTTGGTAGCTCTCAAAGAGGCTGATTCCACAAACAGCTGTGAAATATCAGAGTACTAGCAGTGCCATGTTGCGCATGGATGTTGTCTCTGTCCGTACTTTAGGTGTGCATTGTTGAGGTCACATTTGAAGCTCTTTGTTATGACTTAGGGTTTATTAATAGTAATGAGGCTTAATAGTAAGTTAATAGCCTAATAGTATATTAATAGTAAATGAGTAATAATTGTTTGGACTGTTAGATAGCATACTGAGTACTATCTGTGATTTGAGTCAAGTTCTTTAACCAATTTAAAAAATGACTAAAAAACAAAAAATGACAAAAACCATCAACATTGCCAAGTTCTCTAAATCTATCATTCAATGTTTATGGATTTTGAATTAACCTTTCTTCTGTTGAGTCTTATCTCTTGCAAGGTTAACCAAACCTACTTGCTCTTTGTGAGATTAATTTGAGTTCAGCTGTCTCATTTTGTGATCTTAGTGTTGATGGTTATCTTCTTTTAATTGGTAAAGACTCCAATAGTCACATGCTTGGCCTGGGGATTTACATTCGAAAACAATTCACCCAATTTTTGGGAAACAAGGTTTGAATCCACACACTATTCTTTTATGTGCTTTCGTTTAGAACCACTTCATTTTATCATCTTTTTCTTTATTATATATCACTCTCCTTCGTCTAAAGACTGCACTCTTTTTGATGATATATTTTATCAAATTGATCAAACCCTTTCTCTTTATCCTTCAGCCAATATCATTGTTATTGATGGTGACTTTAATGCTCATCAAACTAAATGGTTTTTAACACAAACGCTTGCATTCTTTTAGGTATACTCTGGGATAGCTATTTTATGGTAGTTTTGTTTTGTTGTGTGAAGTTAAAAAAGATTTAAGATTTGCACTAGGTTTGTCTTGTGAAAGACTGTCTTTTAACATGCTTTCCTAAAGATTTTTTCAAATTTTGGTGATAACATTAGGATCCACGGTAGTGATATGGTTTGCTCGGTTGCTTCATTGTTAGATAGGACTATTTCATTATTAGAGTGTTGTTTTTTTATAACATAGAATTGTTTATTTCTGCTTTTTTTTTAAATATATTTATATAGGGGGATTTTTTATTACTAATTTTTGAGCTTACTTATTTTTATTGTTTTTTAAGAGAAACTTATTTTCGTGCCTGCATTTAGAAATCAATTCCGATTTTTTTTTTTAAACAAGATTCTAGGTCGGTTAGTGTAATTATTTCGAATCTCTCATGTAGACATAATATGCATTTTTTAAAAATATTGTTATAGGCTTATGGACTAAATCAATATTAAATCATCAATTTTTTCTTTACCTTTTTACTCCAATATATATTTTGACATGATGTTTTTTAAATACTTTTTATTTTTAAGAGATTGTGATTGGTTCCATTCACTCTCTGTTAAACCAATATAAATTTTATAAGGTGTTATCAAATCTGGTAGTGGTGTAGAGGTAGAGTGGTTGCCTCATAACCCAGAAGTTTGGAGTTTGATTCACCCATGTCCCCGGTAGTACCAAGCTTAACTTGTTTTCTC